TTGGATATAATTCAATTAATTTTGGCCCAAATTCCTTTTCTTCATTTCATTCCCTTTCTTTTATTTAATTGTTTTTCTTTTCCTTTTTTAATTAATTAAAACTTATCTTAAAAACTCCTAAAAATAATTAATTTACTAAATTAAGCTAAAAACCTAATGTAATATTTAAAAAAATTAATTACTTCTAAATTAAAAGGAAAATTATTGATTTATAATTAAAAAGTTAGAAATGCAAAATTAAACCAATTTTGTGATTGTCATTTTTGATAAAACACCTAACATAATAATTAATCATAAAATGTAGAATTAAATCCTAAATCCAAACGCAAAATATTTTTTGTATTTTTCACTAATTAAAATGCACAAACAAAAATGCAAACAATTAACAGAAAATGCCACGAAAATCCACAAAATTGCAAACACTGAAAGAAATTATTATTTTTGAATTTATGGGAGTAATTCATATAGGGCAAAAATCACGTGCTCACAAATGGGGACCCAAGCGAGTGGAGGCCTTCAATGCATTGAAAGCGGCTAGGTCTAGTAGCCCCGTCTTGGCCCTTCCTGATCTGGACAAGCCATTCGAAGTACAAACAGATGCATCTGACTATGCCCTCGGTGGAGTCTTGCTACAAGAATGGCATCATGTAGCGTACGAGAGTCGGAAGCTGAAAGATGCAGAGCGGGGCTATGCCGCCTATGAGAAAGAATTATTGGATGTCGTCCATTGCTTGCGCCTTTGGAGGCACTATCTGTTGGGGACCCAGTTCGTGGTCAAGAAAGACAACACAGCTGTTAGCCATTTCATGACCCAGCCGAAGTTGAATGGTCGACAGGCCAGGTGGCAGGAACTCTTAGCTGAATTCCACTTCAACCTGGAGTATCGAAGTAGGAAGACCAATCATGTTGCTGATGCGCTCAGTCGGAGAGCTGATCTAGCATCGGTGTGCCTACTCGCCACCCTAAAGGGGAGCGAAGTAGCCACCTCCATCAAGGACCAGATACAGGATTTACTCATCAAGGATCCTGCTACACAGTATTTGGTTGATTTGGTAGGACAGGGCAAGACTCGCCAGTTCTACATTGGAAGATGGTTTTCTGAAAGTGAAAGGGAACCGACTTTATGTTCCTAAAGGAGGAGATCTGCGAAAGACTCTTCTAGCTGAATGTCATGATACTTTGTGGGCCGGCCATCCTGGTGAGGAACGCACCATGGCGTTACTTCGCCGTGCATATTATTGGCCTTAAATGGCCGATGACGTTGCTCAGTATGTGAAGACTTGTCTAGTATGCCAGAAGGACAAGTCGGACCGCTTAACACAAGCGGGACTCTTGGAACCACTAGCTGTCCCAAAGAGACCTTGGGAAAACGTTTCCTTGGATTTCATCACCGGATTGCCTAAGGTCGGATNAAGATTATCTTGCAAGTAAGGCACCGAGGACATCACCAACTCAGGTGGGGGAGAATGTCATGGGTGGCTTTCCAGTCGTGCCCCATGACCCCTTGGGCGCGCCCTGTGGCATCCTAGCAAGCCTTCCAATGCCTAGCGCCACGAACGTCCCAATGGTCTTGGCCGCGCCAAGTGACAAGCACACATGTGCCTCTGTCGCCCCACCGATATCCCTCGCTAGCGCCCAACCGCAGGCAGATGCCAACAACGTCGTGCGCACATACCCTGATGCCAAAGACTATGCTGCTGACAACGGACTTGTTTCTGCCTTGTAGAAAACTAAGTCTTTTTCATTGTAAATATAGAGTAGTTTTATTCCATGTACTTCCATTATGTTTCTCTAGCTTAATCAAATCTAGTCTTGTAGCTTTGGTTTATTTTTTTTAAGTATTATTAGGGGGAATCAAGCAATCAAACTTTCTAGCAAGCAAACAATTCTCTGTATTGGTGTCTCTCCCCCTCGACACCGCGTTGCCTTTCTGTAATAGCTTTCATTAATGCAATCAAGCTTTCTTTCATTCTCAATCCTTATTTAGTTCTCTCAATTTCTCTTAACATTGGTTTTCCCGTACGGCACTGACAATCTAGTCTAGCGTACGGAGGGGACTGCAGTTGGCGACAGTAACTACACTGACATCAGTTGCTTAGCCTTACGTCGCCCTTCCAGGAAATCTCAAGAAGGCGCCGCATAACAGAAGGCATGTCCACAATCAATGGGACATGATCAGAAGCTCCCTCAAGGTTTGAAGATGCACCAGTCATTTTTCTGTTATGTATGTAAGAAGAAAGTGCAAACGTGAAAGGGGTACAATAGCACAAAACGCTAAGAGAATGGAGAGACAAAGATGCAAGAATTTTGAAAAGAAAAAGGGGAAGCTTGAAGTTTCAAATGCTTAAGAAATGCAGCAGCTCAAATGAGGAATTCCCATCCCTATTTATAAGAATACTGGTACCCTAATCGAGAAAGCCAAACGCCGCCACATTGACTTCAAAATAGAAGAGATGCGGGAAACAATGTAACGTATCGGGAACATACGTTGTAATGACGCATGATGAAGTGATGTCATTTCAAACTGACGTAATGGTAATATGTGGCTCTTAAAGCGCCACGTCGTCACCTCGCCATAAAAAGGTTACTCCTCGGCCAGCATGCCCAGATTTTTTGAATTGCAACTGGCGAAGTCCGCCCATCTAGCTCGTCCAAAAAGAAACAACTCCAACGGGCGGAGGGACTAACTGTATGGGTCAAAATCTGACTAAGGAAAACTTGCCTAAGAGAGGATTACTAAGGGTCGATTAGGCCGAGGTCGTGCTCAAGATGGAAGGAACCTATAAGCGAGCTGAGTAGCTAGGGTCGAGGTCGAATACTCAGATCAGCCCAAACGGCTAATTTAGTAGTAAGATATTTTAGGCAAATATTTCACAGAATATTCTCTGCACTTGTACTTTCAGTTAGGTAAGGGATATGTTCCATATAAGGGGGAATAGAGAGAGAAGAAGGGAGTGTAATATTCTATATGATAGTTCTCTCATGGAAAGTTGACTCTCAAGTAAATTACAAACATTGTCTTTACAAAAAAATTCGATTTGTTGTTGATCTCACACTTTCTCGCATCAGATCCGAGAAAGCTCTCTATATTCCCACGTTTGTTTGTCTTACATCATTGTCAGAGGTAGAATCATCCACCTCATTTAATATTTGGGTGAATCATTCTCTCTATTTACATTTATTGTCATTTATCATATTTATTGCTTATCATTATTCCCCCAAGCACTCATAACAGTACCATTAAATACCCATTCGCATTAGATTGGTTTAAACGCAATTATATGTTGTTTGTTTCAACCGATTTCAGATCTAAGATTTATTATGTTTAATTAGAATTTACCCATTATCTTTTTATTTTATTAGTTTAACAAAAAGGCTTAACACTTTTTGGTCAAACACTTATAGCTATCTTTAGAAGTTACGAGATCTTGCAGCAGAGATTGACATTGTCCTTAACTTTGTATTTGAACCATAGTCGAACACCTCTAATGGAGTCTGCAGGACATATTAAAGGTCTGGTAAAGAACGCACAACTGTTTATATACCACATAGGAACCACCCAATAAAGGATGCAAAGTTGTAAGGGAAAATTAAAGACACTTGAAGTTCGACGTATAAAAGAGTGATATATGATACTCGGTTTTTAAACGGTATCCCGTTCTAATGTTGGGTAATTCAACAATGCAAGTGTCAAGAAATAAAAAAAAGGGTCTAGAGGAGCAATACATGCCAGATTTTACTTCCTTTTTCTTTGGGAAAAGTGATGAGCATTATATGCCAGTTAATTATAAGCAAGAATTAATCACAATAAGCTAAAACTATTGAGTATCCACCCTTGACAATTCAACATATAACAAGACAAGTAAGACATATAATAAGAAATCTACATCTAACATCACTACTAAAAATGGGCAAAATCGACCGATATTGGTCGGTTATTGGCAAAAATCGACCGAAAACAGATCGATTTGTGACGGTCGGTAAACGTATGGTCGTAAAGTAGACCAACTGACTTTGGTCGATTGTGACAGATCGATTTCGGTTGGTCAATTAAAATTTTACAAAAGACAAAAAAAATTTGCCCATAAGATTGACCGATTATTTTAATTATGTAATTAAAAAATACACAATCTGAGAATCGAACTGGGGTCTGTACTGTTGCAGGATAGTATTCTAGTACTAGACTGTTGATGGATATTAGTTTAAGACCTTTTTTTATTTTGTTTATACTCTTTAATTGTATTTTCGCGCGAAAATAACCGATCGATTTCGGTTAGTTTTATTTTAAAAAATAAAATTATCAATCAAATCGGTCGGGTTTTTAAAACAACTGACCGAATACCTACCGATTACGGTTGTTTTTTGAATATCAGATTTAATTTATTTTAAATAAAAAGTCGACCAAAGTTGGTCGAATTCTTGACAAATAAATTTCACGGGACACATAAATAATTTTCTGCATTTTTGCGCAAAAAAAAAATTGACTGAAGTTGGTCGGTTTTATTAAAAAAATATAAAATAAAATATTTTGAAAAACCGACTGACTCGATTTTTCTGTCGATTTTTTGACCGACCGAAGTCGATCGGTCGGCCGCGATTGATTGTGACCGAATTTCTAATAGTGCATGCCATTCTTATTAGGCCAAGTCACTATTTAGTGAACTGTTAATCTACGTGCGAAAATAACCACTATAATCTCTACCGATCAACTTTACAATATAAGCTCCTACAAAAATCATTAACCTACAACTAATGGTGTTGTACAAATAAAAGATTAAGAAAGATTTTTCTCCTATTCTCCCCTCTTGGAGAAAAGTGAGCCGTTGCCTAATCCATCCATGTGCCCCCTTCATAAAAGTTTGAAGTCTTATATTAAAATTGGGTCAGATGCCTAATAATTAAGTAACATGCACAAGTACTACCCCATATTTGTTGCACGTTGATAACAAGTTGTTTTGCACAAAAATGGAGACATCAATCACCGTTAAAGATTAGAGTCATACAAAATTGTCCAAACCAAGACAAGAAACTCAATTGCCTTTTAGTTCCTTTTCTAATTACACCACTTTCAAGCAAACAACGCTTCCACAAGATTTTCATATGCTAATAGATCATCGCTCAAGGCAGCAAATCAAACACAATACTACTCCTATAGCCCTATATACACGAAAACAAAAAACATAAAGAACACAAATTAAAGAGAGTCGAGGAACAAAAATCAAGTAGTTAGACCTCTTCTTTCTTATGCCGAGGGTCTTTCGGAAGCAGCCTCTTTGCCTTCTTGAAGCTGAAAGTAGGATAAAGTCTGCGTACACACTAAAGTAGGATAAAGTCTGCGTACACACTACCCTTCGGTAAGACCTCCTTAGAAGTACGCAATTTAGTCTTTCTAACGAATTGATTTTGCTATTAGACAAAAGCATATAGCTCAGGAACAAAGGAAAACCATTTGAATCCACAACTCCATTTATCAGGCAATGAAGGGCATTTTGGAAGCCAATGCCAAGTCCTTCTATTAACCTTGTAGTATAAAATCTCAGGCCAAGAATAGCAACAAACACAAATCAACCCTTGATGCCAAAAGCAATAAACATGTTCATAGTTGTGGTAACAAACTGATAAAAACTTCCTACAAATCAATTCTGGCACATTCTCAACTTCCACCCAAATCTTGAATTTCTCATCCAATTCCCACAATTTCATACTTCTTGAAATCCCATTACTCCCATTTCCACTAATCAAGCACAATTTCTTATCCCCATCACTTACCAATCTAGCAAAAGTAAGCTCTATAGGCAGCTCAAAATTTGATCTTTGCCACTTGCCAGTATTAAGATCCATATATACTATAAAGTAAGGCTCTGGTGTAATAAAATACAAATACCCATTATGAAAAACACCCTCTTGATTATGATTTTCATTTAAAATCAGATCAAAGCCTCCAAATTGGATCCAAGAATGAACCAAAGAATCATAGACAAAAACATGGTTGTTTGAAGATCCAGTAGTAGACATCACAAACAACTTATACCCATTATTAGGTAAAGAAATTAAAGTGAGAGATTCAAAAGCAAAAGGCAAAGTTGGGAATTTAACAACCCTTGAAGTTCTTGCTAAAACATTTGTTATGATAAAAGAATTAGAACTCGGGCGAGTGAAACAAAGCAAGCCATTAGAAGAAGATAAAAGAAGAGATGAAGAAGATGGTAAAACAGGTGAAATACAAAGAGATAAGTTACGCCAATTGTTGTGAACAGTGTCAAATAAAGGGTACTGTCTAGGAAATTGTGGGTGTGAAAGTAAGAAAAATGAAGAAAAAGGTGAAGAATTTGGTGAACTAGAAGAAGAAGAAGGAGAGTGTTTAGAGATAAAAGGAGGAGAAAATAAAAGAGTCTTGAAATGCTTACAAGTTGATCTGAGTTTCAAGAAAGTCTTCAATGGCAGAAATGAAAGTAAATATTCCAATACATGTTCTGGTAATTTACTCCATATTTTTGGATCCATTTCTTTTGCTATTACCATCTTCTTGTTTTCCATAAATACTAATGAAAATATCAGTTGCAGCTAATTTTTATAGATGCTTTATTTGCTTCTGGTTTTTGGGGTCTAGTATTGGTGAGCAACTAACTTGATTTGTTTTGACAAATTGGTAACGTGATTTTCAAGGTGGAGAGAGATAAATAGAACAAGCCAAGCGATTAAACTAGAACTCATATGGACAATTTAATAAGTTTAATTGAGATCGATGCTCTTAATTTTTTAATTGTATAATAAAGTTGGCGTTGACTTGAAAATTGAAATTGCAAGTGTGAACTAAAGATGGCATAGTTAGATCAATATGAACTGGTCTTATCGGTACTGTCTAATTTTGACAATCGAAGATTTAAAACACACTCCATTTCCTTGGCTAATATTGGAAGGGGGGAAATAGGGGGGGGGATGGATAGCATATATTGCTGGAAAATTAGCTGTGATTTTCTTGTAGTACATATTGGAAACACCCAAAAGTTTTAGCTATTTATTAGATCAAACATAGTCCACATAAAATTTAAAAGCATCTCAAGCTGTAGCGAACCTTTATTTGGAGTTAATAATTTTAACATGGAGTAGCTACAACAAGATTATTTAAGGACAAACATCATATTAAAGTTAGCAAAATACCTTTTCGTTTATTATATTAAAAATAACGAAGCGGAGCCTTGGAGCAATGGTAAAGTTATCTCCGTGTGACCTATAATTTACGGGTTCAATCCGTGGAATCAGCCACTGATGCTTACATCAGGGCTTAGACTGCCAACATCACACTCCCTTTGGGTGTGGTTCAAGCAGTGAAATCAGCCGCTAATGCTTACATCAGGGTAGACTGTCTACATCACACCCTCTTTGGGTACAGTCCTTTTTCCGGACACAGAATACTTCGTGCACGGAACTAATCTTTTATATTAAAAATAACACTCCGTATCCAATGCTGGAAAATATTACTGTAGTTTTAAAAATCAGTAGATAATGTTGTTTTATTTTTAAACATATCAGAGAGGATTGAAAGGAAGGGAAAGTGATGAAAGACTTTGTTTGATGGTTGCTTACTTTCTGGCCTCTGGGACGGCATGATTAACATTGCAACACACGTAATCTCAGTTTGCTTATTTTTATTTCTAACAGTTAGTGGTTTTGTGCTCTCCCACACCCAACGAAATTGTAATGTACTCAAGAATTGAAATTAAATTGGAAAGTTTATTGATCAAACGAATTTGTACAATCAGTTACAGTTTTGAGAATTAATACATCAATTCCTAAATCGAACTATCTAATTCAATAGATAAGAAGAATTAAGAAGAAGAGGAGAGCAGAAGAAGGAGAAGAGAAGAGACGAGAAGGAAGCGAAGAGATACACAGAGAGAAAAAGAGAAGTGAGAAGCAGAAGCTACGAAAATGGATTAAAATTCTGAATACCATGTTCACCGCTTGCTTGTCTCTATATATTGGAAAGTTTCCACATCGGTGAAATAAGAGTTGAAAGTTATTGACTCACGTGAGAACAAGTCCAACACGTGACCTCCTTTGATAACTAATTCCCGATCATAACAGAAATGAACAAACAAATAAGGATAAAAGAAAAATGATAAAACACATAATAGATCCTTTTTTATAAACACTTAATGATTCTTTACAAATATTTAAATGTAATTTTTACTTAAAATTTTTTATTTATCATTAATAAAAAACTTTATAATGATAGAAATGTTATATTGTACGATATAATAACTCAAAAGTTTTATAGTGACACATATATTATAGCTTGTTAATACCGCAAATTTTAAATATTACTTTCCTTTATAAACATTATGCCCAAGTCCAACTAAATAAAATCGCATAAGATGAAGCAGATGAGTCATAAATGAAATATGAAGCCAAAGCTATGTGCGGAAGACAGATACATTTTCACTACTCGTGGTTTTTGACGACCTATAGTATTATTTATGGCTTGACTGGGTTTCTGGTGACTTATGCCACATTCTATAACTTTTGTCGTTAAAGGAAAATTAGTCAATAATGTTCGTAAAAGATTTCCTTCCAAATTAGAAGAAAAAAGGGAATTGTAGGTATACATATTATTTTTGCCTAACACTATGTTTGAATCATTGTTACCCATCGTTTTATAATAAATTGTATTATATTGTATCATTTTATGAATACTTTGCTGTTGTTAAATAATATTTTTGTTGTTTGGTTTGACAGTATATTGTAACTGATACGTTCACTAAAATACTCCCAATTATTTTAAACAAAATTTGTCAAGAATTACACATAAAAATAATTTAAATAAGTATCTTTCTACTAATTTATCATTAAATACGTAGCTTGGAAACAAGAGAAAAAAACTGGGAAAAAAAGGTTAACTAATATTAAAAAAGTTTTTTTTTTAAAAGGTTAGCAACAAAAAAAATTAAAACGATGGAAAGAGACAAAGAATCGCACGGAGACTTGAATAAAAAGAACGGGGCAAACCAACTCTAGAATAGATGGAAGAAGACAAAGTAGGTCAATAGGTTGGAGATTTGGAGTTAAATTAAAATAAATTAAATGATAAAATATAATTATAAAATAATAAGTAAGGGCATAATTAGAAAAGAAAATAAGAAACGATCTCACCACATTCAATGGTTTGAAGAAAATAGGGTAGTAGTGATTTCTTCCTTCCAATTTATGCGAAAAATTAAACTTATAATTTCCCCCTTCCAAATCAGCATCACGTGTCACTTAAGGCTGTGCATACTTTGGTAAATATCGAATTATCATACACCGAAAATTTTGGTATTTAGTATTCGATATGTTGGTATTTGATTTAAGTTGTTAAAAAATATTGGTATTAAGTATGGTATCTGATACTTAAAAATAAACTACCAAAATATCGATATTGTACCGAAATATATATTAAATTGCATAATACACATATTATTATTTTATAACATAAATATTAAAAATTTTAAATTTGACTTCCCGTTATTTTTATAGTTCTCTTTAACCTTTACCACCTTTTTCCCCACTATACTTGCATTTCCCCCTTTACTTTGATTACCTACATACATTTCCACCTTTCTCCCTCTAGGTTTAGCATTTTTGATTTTCATCTCTTTTTTTATTATATTATAATATTTTTATTTTCGTATTTGAGTACCTTAAGAATATTATAGTTTATGGCTTCATACATTAGTTAATATTCGAGAACAAACCGAAGTTACCAAATCGAATAAATCGAAATTAAAAGGAGAAAAGACGAATCATACTGAATTTAATTAGGTATGATATTATTATAGCATTTCAAAAAATCGAATACCAAAATATCGAATCGAAATGTATAAATACCGTACCGTACCGACCAATGAACACCTCTAGTGTTAACAATCAAACTCCCCCTCAAAATTTGGACCAATGACGGATGATTTTATAAATATAATTCATATCTTGCCTTCAAATTGTTATTCTCCTTTCTGTAAATGTTTTAGCATTACGATATTTTCTAATCTCTGTTACCAAACTCTCTATATTGCAAATAAGCCATTATTTAGAAATTAAACAGAAGAATAATTTGTTACGCACATTCGTCAATAACTTTGAAATGAAAAAATTTAGGACAATAAAGTTCAAAATTCAAAAATATAAAAAGGAGAAAACAACTCCAAGTTTGTATTTTTGTGTGGCCAATCATAACTCAAAAGATCTATCCATAAATTGGATTGAGAAAAAAAAATCTAATGTTCAGTGCACTTAATATTAAATACGAAAAAGGGCCAAAACTTTTTTTTTTCACCAATAAGTTTTTTATTAATAAAAAATAAAAGAAAATACAACAAATAGGAAAAGTATAAATAAGGGGGATAATAACACCGATATTATTGTCCATATGCCTTGGCTATATAATAACTCCTCTGCGCCTCACACTGCCTTTTGATGACAGCCTCATGTAGAGGATTCATGGTGTAGCTGTCGGCAACGTCTCACGAGGGCATATAATCTCATAGCCGTGTGGATATTTTTCCAAAGGCATAGGACCAAGGCAACACAAACTAGGCTAAACCTTACCTTACTAATCCTATTGAGGCTTAGAAAAAGGCTCATCTTCTAGCAAGCATGTAAGAAATAGGAACTTGAAAGTACCAAGTACTCTATGATCGCCATAGAGTTTATAACACACTCTATGACGCTATTACAAGTGATGATGCTTTGAAAATGATAAACTAAAACAATGTAGAAATTAGAGTCTTGCCCCTCATTTCTCAAACTTGTGAGTTCTTCAATTTGAACTTCCTTAAATTCCTCTTTAACTATCTTCAAATAATCTATAAAATTCTTCATTTCTTCGCGGATCTATTGGACCTCGTAGATATGGAGGTGGCAACCCCTTTTTGTTTTGCAGCTCTCATTGGGAGTTGCCTGAGCATTATTCTATTTGAGTATGCACATCTATGAGGTTTTGGACTGTCCAAAGCATCCAATAGATCCCGGTCATGGTTTGAAATCAAAGCATGGTTTGAAAACTCAGCTGAACGTTTAACATTGTCCAATTCTACTGCTGCATCACCTGAAGTGTGATGTTGCTTTTGTAGTGGACTGCCTAGAGTATGCTTCTGTTGTCCAGCCATGAAACTTATAGGAAAATCTAGTTGTTGTCATGTATTTGGAAGAGCATGATTGTGTTGATGTACAGTAGATTTACCCGCTTCAGTGATAGCTTCTGTACTGTTTAAACTATGTTGTTGCTGCCCAGATTTTAGTCTTATTGTATTTTGCATCATAGTACCACTTAAAATGGAAGTGCTGCAATTTTTTGGTACTGGTGGTGAGCTGCATTGTGTTGATATTGGTGATGAGCCAACTGAACGCAGTTCATCATCTTGACTATCTTGAACATCAGTTAATAACAAGAGATTTCCAGATTCACCTTCAACTTCACCACACGACCCCTCTGATTGCACTTCTTCTGTTCTGTCTGCTTTATTTGTGCTAACCAACAAATGATCATGCTCATTAGTAGCTGCAGGTCATTGACTGCTAGTTTCCAGATTTGCAAAAGTTTGCAATGGAACAGTAGGTTCCCCTGTTTTTCCTGTAGTATTCAATTTTTTCACAATAGCAGTTTCGTCCTTTTGTTGCTCCTCATCAAGTTTATTAGCAGTCACCTTGTT